CTCTCTCTCTCTCTCAGTCAGACAACAGGACGTGCTCTGGTTAATAATGAATCAGGAGTCACATCATGCAGACCGGCTGCCCTGACCACTCATCAAGCCATGCTACATGTGGGAGCATCACAGTGAACACAGCGAGCAGAGGTGCACACGAAAATGTTCCTAATTAATGCTTTTATTTGGGGGTTTGTTTCAAAATATTAGCATAATGTATCACAGTGTATGATGACATGGTCTGCAATGGTCACAGATGCTATGAGACTGCATTACCTGCTTAAAGCAAGAGAGGCAAGAAGCTTTCATTCACTTACAAGTGCATGAATGTCACTTAATTTATTGCTGAGCTTTTGGTTTGGCAAAGCAAGTAGGCTGCCGGCCAACTCCCATCTTAAAAAGGGGATGGCAGAGGGAGTCTATTATTGGACACTGATGAATGGAGAGCGGCACTTAACTCCTTTTTTAATGTATTACTGTATATTATTTAAGGTGTGTGGACCCCTGCTGGCCAAGGAACCAGCCTGAACAGTCATCTCTGTGCGTCGGGCCAAAGCTGCTGCTGGTGGCCATCGGGATATCACGGCTGCAAAAGCACATCTGACTGACAGAAGCAGCAGAAGCAAAGACGGGTCGGGGGGGGGGGCCCGGCTAGAGCCTTACCATCATGGTGGGCCACATACAGAGCTAAAGCCCAACCCAAGCAAAGTAAAGGCAGAACAACAGAGATTTGATCAGTATCCATTTTCCACTGACTGTTACAGTGTCTAGGTAACTTGGTAAACACATTCAGAGCATTTCCAGTTTATGCATCAGTTTCATTTGAATAGATTTGTGTTTAATATACAGCAGGACTGAAACTAAGGATTATTTTTAGAATCAGTTAATTTGCTGATCATTTTCTGATCAGTGATTCATTGTTTGGGCTGTAAAACATTATAAAACAATTTCTAGGAGACCGAAGACATTCAGTTTACAATAATGTTAAGACAACTTTTGAGAAGCTGGAACCCTCATATTTTGGGCATTTTTGGTCAGTTAATCACTTAAACGATCAAAATAGTTAGATCGAATAATCATTGCAGCTTTAATATAGTGTGTAAAATATACAGTTATTAAGAATAGCAAGAGTTGATTGTTGTTTATTAGTATACATTTTGTCTCACTGTCAAGGTGTTAATGTTACAGATTGCTTTAAGTATAACAGTTCCCAGTAATCTAAATTAAAGTGATACTTAATTAAAGGCTGTGTGGTTCAGGGTTTGTGTGGCAAACAGTACCTTTCGGATCAGATCCTGGTCCTCCACCACACCCAGCTCTCTACCTGTAGCCTGGGCGATCCGTTTCCCTGCCACCAAGTTGCCGACCAGCATAGAAGCGGGACCGACGTCCACTGAACAGATCGGACAATCAGACAATCAGAGTCACGATGCCAACAGCACAAACCAAATAACATCATATAATATTCTGATACTTCGTATGCTGTGATGTTCTACAGTGAACATCAGTAGGTATGGTCTAAGGCGGCCTACCTGGCTGTTTCTGGCGTGGCTTGGGCAGGTTGGTAACACAGGTGTGCGGGCACATGAGGATATTACAGGGGTGCAAGTTCCCTTCCAGAAAGTTCTGCTTGGTTTCACAGATGTGGATCCCTCCGAGGGGCGTCTTTGGGAGGGTGTTGGCTGGGACGAGTGCAAGGCAGTAAAGGCCGACCTGGTGGATACTGTCGATTGCCTGTGCAGAAAATCACGTGATATAGTTTAAATGCAAAATGAACACAGTATATCATAAAATGTCCTTCTGAGAAAAGGCTGCTGAGTCTCTTTAAGACTTGAGAACCTCAGTACAAACCTTTAAAGTTTAATTTCATCCAGCATGATAAATCACTTTCAAACTGAACTTTAGGCAATAAAGGGAGAGTTAGAACACCTAAAATACTATCAAAAGTAAAAATGTATTGAATATTCACACTAGGTGACACTATATATTTGATTTACCTGCAGTACTCGACTCATCCACTGGAAGCTGTCCTCCTCACTGGCGTCAGGCCTCTGCTCTGCCACGATCACTATCCTCTCATCATAAAACACAGTCACTGAGAACACAGCGATCCTGCATGAATGACAACAGAGAAATGAGCACTCACACACTCCGGACCAACACAAAGGGAACGGCTGCAAGATGTTAAAGGGATTGTTAGTTTGAGCAGATATACAGTAGCAGTTTTTTATTATTTACCATAAAACATCACAAAATCATCATTACTCATATGAGCATGTGTGTGGCTGAACGGATCTTTGTGCCCACTGTTACGAGCAGACAGTGTCTCACCTCCCCCTGTAAACTGTTTTGACAGGCTCCACTGCTAGTGCGGTGGCCACCAGGTCGTCGGCATTGTGGCGTCGCCCGCTCACCATCAGCAGCCCCTCAATCTTCCCCACAACAAACACCAGACTTCCCTGTGGACCAGACAGTTTCACTCAGTAAGGAAAACAGAAGTCCTTTATTTCAGAAGGCTAACTCTTTATTTCTGTGTGTGCCTTACAGGTCCTACAAATCCGAGCAGACCAGTCCGAGAGAAGGGAATTTCGCCTATAGGTGCTCCGGCTTGGTTCACGGGGATCACCTACAGGATTGGAAGACAAATCAAACATTGGACTCAAATACACACAGTACAGTAAATCTCACCCTGACATTATATTTTAAAGGATTGTCAGAAGAATTGAGATACTGTGGTTAAAAGTTTAGTTTAGAGGTGATTTATTGCCTAAAAATATTTAAATGAAAACATTTATTGGGCGCTACATGAGGGAATAAATAACAAATTCATGGTGACTGTGGCTCCATCTAGTGGATCATTTTAAGCTGTGCTTCTTTCCCATCCATCCATCCATTTTCTAAACCAGCTAATCCTGCGCAGATTCAAGGGGGAGTAGAGTTGAACCCAGCACACACTCACTCGACAAGAAGCAGGGGACTCACTGGGCAGGTCGCCAGAAAGTCCATTCTCAAGTGTTGACATGACTTTTTAAGTAGAGTTGTGATTTAAATGTTGCTGCAAACTACATTTGTTGTCTTCTCTCTCTCTCTCTGTATACTAGTGTGTCAAGAAAAGATTTGGAATGAGCCACTTAGTTCTTTAAACTTTGACGGACCTCGAATGTGTTCTTGGTGACGCCAGGCAGGCCGTAGTACATGGTGCCTCCAGCCCGAGAGTTGATCACAATCTCTCCTATTTCATCTGTTTTGCAAAGCTGAGGAGGTCCGTCTGGTTTCACAATGCACATCAGAGCTGAAACACACAACCAGGTCACAATTTTAACATTAGGTATGTTTACATACCTGAATTCTGATATAAAGTTTAGTTTAGTTTAGTAAATGTGGCAACTGCTGCACTTCAGCAGTGCTAATTAAAGCCAGTGGCTAACCTCCAGGCATGATGTGGCCCACATCCTGAACCGTGAGAGCAGAGTTCTTGTCCTCCGTGTTCACCCTGATCACCCCGTGGCTCAACCCGCCCATGGACAGGATGGCCCTGGCTGGTAGTGGAGCCCCTCGCGCACCAGGCCTACAGTGAAGGCAAAAAGAGAAGTGAACAGGCCAGAGGGCAGTATTAAGCACACAAAAAAAAATCCCCTGGTTTGGTATTATTTTTGAGTTGATTTACTTTTAAAGTAGTGCAATTATTTTAGCCTACACACTATTTTTAAACTGAACTAAGAAAAGTATGATCTTAGGAAGAGACGCGTAAGCACAAAACTCTTGCCAGTTGGTGCTATAACCACAACTCTATCTACTTATTTGTCTTTGTTCCTTCTTACTTCCTCTTTCCTACAAGTCAGGTAGTTACACGATGGTTGTTTACATGTCAATAAAAAACACAATATACATCTATTATTTCAAGACATCTAAATATAAGCGCCTTAATGGTGAATATTATGTGAAAAGCTACTCTTGTTGTTTGCATGCAAAACCACACTGGTTTTGAACTCTCCAGTGTCACAGTGTCTCTTCCTAGAGCATGTGAGTATGCAGATGTAATACCTGCGTATAGCCACAGTCAGGGCTTCAGGAGAGGTGGCACATGGACAGATCACCTCAGGCTTCAGACCATGAGACTGAAACACATTCAGGAAGGCATCACACGACGACACAGACCCTGATAACAAACAATGGACAAAAACGTTACTCATACAAGAACAGGGCAAAAACATGATATTAGATTATTAGAAAGAGACTATGTTTGTGCAGGAGAAGTGACTTACATGGGTTTGCTCCATCAGCCACAATGAGCATGCGTATCGAGGACAGGTTGGTGTCCCTCTGGTCCTTGTGGGCCATCATGGCCCAGTGGAGGTCACGGCACTTCACCAAGGCCACTCGTGCTATCAGTGGATAAGGGGAGTATTTTATATATATAGTGCTCTTACATATTGTATTTACTGTTCTCATCAATCATGTATACAGTTTGTGTTTGCTATACTGTTGCTCAGTGACTTTTGTTGCCATTGTTGTGGTCTTGTAGATAGTAATGATCTTTTAATAATACCCCTGTTACTTAATATATGCCCTACCTGATTAAATAAATATATACAATTGCGCAGACAATAAAATAATAATAATATTAATAATATAAAAGTAAGATCGGAAATTGGCTGTACCTTTGTGAATGTGGACCCTTTGCACCCAGGACATGGGACATGCTTTCATGACAGCATATGGCACTGTGATGGTGTGGATTCTGTTCATGACACTCTGGAAAAATGCACATATTGTTAATGTCACATTTTGCTACATACCAAAATTAAAAAAGTGAACTAGTCTGGATATACGGTACATTGTTGATTGCATTCAATCTCACCGTTAAGACTCCATGCCACATGCCCATATCCTTCTTGCAGTCCAACACATTGACCAGTGTTTCCCCTAAAACAGAAAACACAAAAACAAAGTGAATATGTGTACAATCAGCAGCTAACTGTGTAAAAGATGCATCACTTGGGTGCCACCAAAAATGTAATTTTGTGGTCCATTAGAGTGTATATTCACTCTAATCATGATCCTAAGCCTCTCTTTGAGCTGGAGAGAGTGAAAATAAATGATGGGGCAGGCTACAGATGAAATGTGCTGCTGAAGAGCTCAAGAGCTGAGCACTTTTCAACTTAATAATATAATAATTTCTAATGCTTAGTTTATAAAGCTTGAGTGTCTCACCCTTACACACAGAGAGAGAGAGAGAGAGAGAGTATAAGAGAGACAGAGAAGCAGGAGAGGTAAGAGTTACACAAAGCACTAAGATCTGACCTTCACAGTAGTTACAGGCCTGCGACAGGGCTTGACAGTGGGTCAGCATGGAGATCTTGGAGACAGCGACTCCCATCACTGTTCCCTCCTTACTTGCTTTGTACTTTGGTGGAAGAGACACACAAACATCGACAAAGTTACAAGAAAGCATAAGCTACCTGGAAACAAACCAATAATAATAATAGTAATCATGGATTTAACAAATACATGTATAAAAGTCAAATTTAAAAGGCATAAAAACACTAACAAAAAAAGAAAATGGAGAAAGCACAATAAAACACTATAGATGTCACAATACACTCAACTCTTTTATTTCATTTGATACAATTCAGGATACTGGGTTCACTATACAATTTTCTCACATTTTTTTAACAAAATGAAAAAGATTTATTTATTTAAATCGACAAAATATATTTTTCTTTCTATTGCTGATACCACAACATATAATGTAACGATTCACTTTTCATCTGTCTTTCACTGTCTCGCGATATATCTTTACATCCCAATAAAACACATAGGATAACATCAAACTACAAATGTATTATATGTTTTCAAAGACGATTTTATTCACTTTCTAGATGCAGGACAGTTTTGCAGTAATTGAAAATACTCAGTCACCCTGTGACTCAAAAATTTGGGAAAGACAGAAGAGTTCTAACTTCAGATTTAATAAATACAGAAACTGAACCTTTCTACAATTCATTTATGATCAGTAAAATCAATTAAAATTTTGGTATGTACCAAAGTAGAAATGCTAAAAAGAAGAATTTATGTACCTCTATGTAGGCGGTGTCTGTGTTGGCCGTGGGGATGTGAGGCTGCCAGTCTTTGGATGGTTTGGTCAGGTACTTTGTATCTGTCACTACCCATTTCATCCTCGGCCATCCTGGCAAACATCACAAAGAAACATACAGAAATATTTTAGCTGACACACGAAAAAAAGGAAAGTGCGTTTATGTACACTAATTTGGAGCTGCATTAAATTCACCTTGCAACCTCCGGTTTTCAAGGCCAAAGGTGAACCGCCAATACTACAACCCACTCACACACTGTGGCCCTAAATTGGCCAGTGAACATCACACTGTAATTTCCCTCTAATGAGCCTTTCTAATGGCTCCCAAGCAGCATTTGGGCTGACTGACCTTTGAACTGGATGATCTCTCCATTTGGTGTCTTGGGCAGCCCTTTAAGACACACCTCACTGGTCAGCGCCAGACTAACACCACAGCTACCCAGCAGGAAGCCAATCTGCTGGCTGCCTGCATCCTACGGAGAGAGAGACAAAGGTCAAGAGACTTGGGACATGCAAAGAGAGGCCAGTATACAAACCTGTATGAATTAAAAAGCACACATACACTCAGTTGTCAATATGTTATATAATAAATCCATATTTTGTTTTAAATAGCCATATGAGCAATGAGGAATTACATATACGATATACACGGTGTTTATTATAACAACATACATGACATAATAATTTGAACGTTTTATAAAACAGTTAATAAAATGGTTGCTCAGTTACAAATGACCAAGTTTATCATTTATTAAATCCCAGACTCAGTTGAGACCTGACTGAATTATTAACGGTTTGCTTCCATGCTCCATCTTTTATAAAGAATTACATCTGATGTTCTGTTTAGTGATCACTACAGAGGAATTCCCTCGACAACAGTGACATCCTTACCTGTCGTGAGAGTGGTACCTCGATGGGCACAGGGATGACCTCAGCTAAAAGGCAGCCATAGAAAGCCACCCAGAACATGCCGGGGTCACTGTTTGGATACACCAGCGCCACCTACGAAACAGAGAAACTCATTTTCTGTGTCATGTTCCTTTATACTTTACTGTACCGAGTGCTGACTGACAGGACTCTTACCCGGTCTCCAGGTTGAAGGACAGGTTCTGTCTTGGTGCCCAGTTTATTCAGCAGCGTATAGGCCAGTTTCAGACTGCGACTCCACAATTTGCCTGTGGAGAAGAAAAGTGAATGATGCTTTTTAAAATGTCGTGTTTGTTGTCCATGTATTAATGTTGTATAACTGATCCAGGATAGTTGAACTCTACAACCCACTATAGCTCCACACTGGAGGAAATGTAGGTGTTATTCTGCTCAAGCCAAAAAATATGTATTCTGTTGAACCAGCTCAATATGTGTGAAATATATCTCACATTTACATTTTGTGGATACGAACTTTATAAACTGAGAAGTTGAACAAAAACCTTTTCCGTTAACTGTCTACATTAACATTTCTATGAGTCGAGGTCCTGCTCACCATATGTGAGTGTGTAGAGAGGTTTGCCGGTGATATCCAGAGCAGTGAGGGCAGGGCTCTTGGCCTGAGTGGCCCCCCAGCGGGCCAGGGCAGCCTGCAGGGCAGGAGGCCAGTTACTGACCACTCCGAGAGGCTCCCCCTTCACGGGGATGATTTGACGTCCCTCTGGCTTTGGGGTGTTGGGGTCTGGCTGGGGCACTGGACAACAACAGAGGGAGGCAGTAGATGATTAGGAGAAGCTATGAATAAGGGTAACCCTACAATGACACTGTGGATAACACAACAGATGTGTCACAAACATTATGGTAGTTTTATTAAGATTTCCATGTAATTAAAACTGTTTAAAAAAAAAAAAAACTTTAAAATAATTGTTCTGTTACCTGGCTACTGTACAATGAACAACATAATAAACAGTATTTCCCTGTTGTGTTAGCTCAACGGCTATACAAGTAAAGTATTAAAAAATAACTTTACAAAAGGTGATATCAAAAGCAGGAAGAAAATACCACCCCATCAGTCTGAATGAAGCAACCCATTCAACAAATTGTGAGTTACTGTTTAGCAGCCTATGTGGGATGGTGAAATTCATCCATGATAAATGCGAATAACTCAGGGCCCGTTCCTGTGATTATTTCCCATTTTTCTTACAAAAGCAAAAACATAACATGAATGCATATGGGCACTGTTCTCACCTTCTACAATTTCCTCAGAGTCATCAACGAAGAATTCACTGAGTGGTGGTCTCTTCGGCCGTTTGAGTGTGTTTAACAGCTGCTGGATCTTAGTGGACACCCTGCTGTTGACTGGCACGCCTGGACAAACACCAAGAACAGCCACTGTCACAAACATATGTAAACAAACAAACAAAAGAACACGCGCACACCCACACATGCATTTCTATTCTAACACAAATCTCTACTTCACCATACGCTCTCACACACAGTCAGGATCAGAATCAGCAGCGAGAGAGTTCAAAGGGGAAATTGGTACTTGAGGAGACACAGATTGGACGATCTTTAGGAAAATAAATATACAAGGTTCTCTACGTCTAAACCTATGACACAAGACAAACATGAAGATAGATAGACAGACGCCAGGTTGGAAAGCAAGCTGATTTGGGCGTCTTCAGCATCCCTCCCCTTCCCCAGTTTCGATTTATATTACCTTTTCTTTTTCCTTTTTTAAATCAAAGGCAAGACAGGGACAGGATTAATGGACCCAAAAGAAAGAACACAAAATACTGTCATTAGCAGCATTCACCACACAGTGAAATGAGGATGAGGTTGAAGATGATTCTGGATGAACATGGCAGCAGATTGTTTATTGATCTGAACGCACTCAAATCAGCTTCGTCACCGCACACGGTAAGTGCAAAACAGAAAATCTCACTCAGTTGCCATGATAAGAACATGCAAATGGTTTAACCTCCCAATCTGAAGAAGAACATCGACAACCAGGTGACAGTTTCCAAATTCCAGGAATAGAATTAAGATTAATGCGATTTTCTCTTTCATCTCTTCTACATTTATACCACTAACAGACATTTATAAACATCTTGGCTTGCGTGAGTTTAAGTGTACCGTCAGCGGTATCCAGCATGCTGGAGCGGCTCTGCCCACGGCTCATGCCCCTGACTGCCGGAGGCAGGTCCACCCTGGACCCTCTCTCCTGGGGAGTAGAGGATGTCACATCTGGGGGCACACTGTTTTCTGAAGGAGAAGAGAAAGTGAGTGTTGGCAAGAAAACAACCAACCACCACTGTGATGTACCCGTTAATATTGGAGCTTTATTTATGACTGAAAACTACCTATGCGCGTGTGGGCCAGTACATCGGCCAACAAGGAAGCAGCGGGTGTGATCTGGGGCTGCGGCTGCGTCTTGGGCTCTCCATGGGAGAGGGTGGAGGAAGCAGACGAGGACGTGGAGGAGCTTTGGACGGAACGGTTGATCCAGTAATCAGGACTCTGCAGGCTCTGGGCTAGTACTGCACTGAGAGCTGCCTTTCTGCGCAGTGAGCCCTCATCCTCTGATGCAGAAGATGTATCTGAGGGAAAGAGAAAATCCTGACTATTTAGATGTTCTTAATTTTTAACAACATTTAGCCCCAAATGACACATTTAAAATTGTTATTGAAAAGCAGATCCCATAATCATTACACTGACCAGCTGCCCATTGTGTGTGAGAAATCTGCTTTACCTGGAGGTGTGCAGGTATCTATGGGAGACTGGACAAAGGCTGAGCGTCTCTTGGTTGGCATGGGCAGTGCCATTTTCTCCTCTTTGTTTTTGGCCAGTGCCGCCTGCACAGCCTCTGTGTGGATGTCTATGTAAACAGGAACAATACACAGAGTGAGTCAAGCAAGTGAGGTAGGCAGAAAGAATGAAAAAAATATATAAACAAGCAAGTTCACAGGTTGACGATTATTTAATGTGATTTATGGTTTGTTGAAGTGTGTGTTTTCCATATACGCTGCATGTAGGCTGTGTACCTGATCTATAGCGGTCGTCCCTGGCCCCTCCACTACGGTGTGCACGGTGGTGTCTGGAGGCTGAAGATGTGGAGGGGCCCGGGCCCTCAGGGCTGGGGCTGGGATCGGCACTGTGACCTGGGGAAAGCTGTACATCTGGCAGAGACAGATCCACATCTACAGAACAGAAGTAGGTATGTACAAAGTCAATAAAAACCCATGTAGGGCAACATTAATAAACAACAAACAAACATGGGCCTTTGGAAAGTTTTTGCTTTTGCTTTACATAATGCCATTACAGCTACATGTAGGTATAAATATTATATGATACTCAGAGAGACTCTCTAAATTTAGACTCACTACTGAGCCTCTGAGCATGAAGTAAAATAAGGACACTCACTTGACTGATGCAACTTATAATGTTAACGCAGTATATGAAACTAGGCTAGATTCAAGCTCATATATTTTTAGTCAACTGTCCTCTCCTCCCAGAAGGCCTATGCAACAGAGTCTCTGAGGAGATGATGGTTCAGAGGGATACGGGGGACTGAGGGGATGGGTGTAGGAGCAGGAGGTGACCTTTGGAGCTTCGAAGCACCCCAATATCTGCTTCGACATCCAGGGCAAGCTGCCCGTAACACAACAGAAAACAGACTCCACTAACAAGCATGGGAACTTAATTAAAGCATTAAATTGAGAATTATTCATATGAGATTTAGGTTTTTGCAGTAATTTCCAATTCCCTGTGTGCTCAAGCCAAACCAGGCCAAGGTTAAACAAGCAGGGAACGATGTGCAGTATATTCCACTTTTTAAATTATCTTACAGTGACACATGAAGAAGGACTTGTTCATGCCAATGCTAATGTGGTACAATTTTTCCAGAGGAAACACCGCACCCTCAAGCGAGTCAGCTGACTGAGAAAAACAGAACAGATCAGCTTACCAACGAGGACAGATGTGACTGACTCATGGTAGTACAGCAAAACTCTTGTACTTCCCCATTTCTGTGACTAGTTGTAAACCGACAGTGGTTTAAGCTGATTGTGTTCAGGGGTTCACAAGTGACAGCACAACCACCGAGACGTGCAGTGGTTTTGTTACTCAGGGAATTTGCTACAGTGGTGCAGCTTTTAGGGAACTTGTTAGATGTTAGTTAGATTTTAAGTGCATTTCCCATTTTGGCCACTAGAGTGCCACAGAAAGCTATAAATTGTCCTGGACAAAGAGAATTACAGTTGCACTGGACATTCAGTGAAGTTACTTTTTTTTTATATTAAGCTGGAAAAAAAAAAAAAACTCTCACATTTAAAACTAAGACGCAACTTCCAGTCATGACTTCAGTTCTTCTGATGCAATTACTTTGAAGTCTCAGAGCGACCAGTTCCAAGAATGCTGACAGATTATGTGAGAATTACACAGGAAAGAGAGAAGTGGGGCTCAGAAGTTAAAAGATATAAAGCAAAGAACAAAAGAAGAAGAAATGGTCTCACTTGGCAAATGTTGGATGTAGGAGGCCAGCAGCTTGGCTTTCTTCTTCTCATAGCCCTTCTGCGTGATGTCACCTAGGAGAGAGGACAGCGACACCACACCGTTATGTTAGTCATAATTATCACACAAACACCAGGCAACTGCGCACACAAACCAGATAAAGTACACACTCCTCTAACACACACACAAACACACACAGCTTCTGCTTTAGCTAATACATTTGCAGGGGTTGAGTCATAATAATAATCCTCTTTAAACCAAATCTACTGAACTCCACATGTTGATAGCCTAGTCCATTTACAACCAGGCAAGGAGATAACACCATTGTTTGGCCTTACATTAGCCCTGGTGAACAAACATGATGGGAGCACAAAAACCTCCTCTGGGCAACGAAACCCAAATATGACTACAGCAACCAGCAGATAACTGTGGCGGGCAGAGAACAATGGCAAAAGTGAAGGCTATCTGGAACAGTTGGGATAGTAAGCAGAGCAAAAAGGAAGCCATGTGAGCCAGTTTCACATGGGACTGAACGATTTATCTCCTCCACCCCCCTACCCCCCTTTTTCCAGTGTACACCCAGCCCCACCCCTTCCTCATTCAGCCTTGGACTGGCAGGACTCCCACGGCTTCCAGAGTTTGCTGAAAAGCAATAGAGGCGGGACAAAGTCCACTTAACTGGGACCCCAGAACACATAGTCTTGCTTGTGCAGCAAACATACATGCAAGACACTCCCTACCTAGTTAAGTCACCAGTGTGTAGGATTCAGTGGCATCTAGCAGTGAAGATCCACATTGCAACCATTTGAATTCAGCTCAATCTTCTGGGCATTGGGGAGAAACTACAATGACCCGAAAACCACTAAAGGCCCAATCTAGAGCCAGTGTCGGGTTTGTTAATCTAGGCTACAGATGGCTACTCCACAGAAGGGGACCCGCTCTCTCTGTAGATAAAAACAGCTCATTCGAAGTTAACAAAAACGATTCTTATTTTCAGGTTATACAGTAATGAAAACATACCTATGAATATTACATTCGGTTTCTGCCAATAGATCCTCCTAAATGTTACACACTGGGAACTTTAAATAATATACATACACACTTCCCTTGTACACACAAACAATCAGTTAATCCTCCTTCCTCGGTGTCCAGTGATAACACCTCATACTATGTCAAGTGCAATGTGCCAAAGGACTGCTTAGCCTCAATCCTGACACCTCCACCACACCCTAACCGGTGACAAGAGGTCACCTACTGAGAGGAGGAGAAAAAGGAGAAAAATCAAAGATAACTGGGAGGAGAGGGTTGTGGGGGTTGAGGTGATAAACACATGGTGAGAGAGGGAACATAGCCCAGAGTGAAACAACAATGGAAATGAAATGAGGATAGAAGGTGGGAGCCAAAGTTCAACAGCAGATTGGAGGGTGGTGGGTTGGATAAGCCGGCACTGGGTGGAGGGTCCCATGTGTGACTCATATTCTGTGTGTTGTATCTTAAAACTTTCTCACACTCAGGTCACTATCCGCTTGTGTGTGGCGTTTGCCTGGAAAAACAACAGATTCCTAAGCTCCCTTAAGGGTTGAGTATGTAAACTGCCAATGGGTTGAATTTGAGTTTTACAGACTTTTAATTCTCATCGTTCCCATGGAGGAAACTCTTGAGGTTTCACAACACTGTGAAATAGTGAAAAAAAGAGGGAGGGAGCAGACATTTGCAGAGGAAAAACTGTGCAAAACAAAGTCAGAGACAGTTTTGGTGAGAGGGAGTGTGTGATTGAGTGCCGAGTGCTTTGTCATTCTTTGCGTAAAAAAAGCTCAGATGGGATGGCCAGCATTCAGCTCTGACTTCATGCCTGGGTACACACGCTGGCAAATGTGTTTTTCGTCTCTTTTTCTTTGTTTCTCCTTCTCTTTAGGTATGCTACAGGCTTGTTTATGTAGAGGAAAACACCCGGTGATAGACATGCAAGCAGGGCAATCAGCGGCAAATTGATTGCAGTGGACTGGAGCGTCATTGTTGTCGGAGACAGGGTTCTGTTAAGCCCAGCGCTGGTGCCCAAGTGGTGCCCGGAGGGAGGAATGGAGGGTTGGAAAGATGGAGGGAGGGAGGTCATTAACACAGACAGAGGAGAGTCTGTACTGGTGTGGGGGCATAACAACAGGCGTGGACTGGCACGACCACACTGGCTCTGTAGCTGGCAGTGGGCAGAGAGACACTGAGGGCTCTGGGTTGAAAGAGTGACTGTGACAGCTGCTTTAAAACAGAGGAAAAGCTGTACGTTTTGAGAGCAAGAATGTGGTGTTTTGAGTGCGAGCATGAGCAACACAGTACAGTGACTGTGTGTGTGTGTGTGTGTGCGTGCGTGTATAATCTGAGGTCAGGGGACAGGATGTGAGCGTTACCCCACCCTGTGTGTGCTGCCAAAATCGTCTCCCTGTGACTGTCTACAGAAAGAGGAATGTGCTGATTGGAGAACACCACACTAACAGAGAGGGCCAACTGGCCTGGAGAGCTAGCCCATTGGCCAAAAACTCCCCTGAGGTGCAGGAAGCAAATGTATCCACGTGTGTGTGTGTGTGTG